CTTCTGTCCCTGTTTGGCCACTCCCCAGACCTCTCTGGAAAAATACTTTTAGTCATGATCTCAGCTTATGTTTACATCTTCACAGATAACACTGCTATGGGCATTTTGCCATGATATTACTAATAAGCAAATTATGAGTGTTTACAAAGTATGCCTTATGAGTTTTATCTTTTATGATCATCATTACAACAATGTGTAGGGAGTGAACACAGCAGTATATTCTGTCTTAGTTTGCTCAGCCAGCACTGCACACACCAGCTGGGGTCAAACAGATGTACTATTGGGCCAGAGCCCACACATCCTGAAAGGAGGTGGGAGGGAGCAGAGTGGGGCCCGAGAGAGAAAGCTATCAATTTAAAAAACCAGCACCTTTCTGCATCCCTCATCTGCCAATCCTGAAATCCTCTTCCCTGCCCTGGTCTACCTCAAGCATCAATCACTGAAATCCACAGCCTGTCCTATAGGCCCCTTTTCTCCACTCTGCCTCTGAACTGAGCAGGGATCCCCCACCCTCACCCCTCTCTGGAGTGATCACTGGGGAGTGATGAGCCTTTTATGTGCAAGGGATGGTCAGACCAGTGAGTGCCTAGTCAGCACCAGGTACAGGGATGTGGTAATGGAGCAATTGCTCCAATGTGTGGTTGACACCAGGCCAGTGAAAAGAACCCCAATTTACCTAGATATACATTCCCCTGGTGCCTAGGGCTGCTAGTCATTCACCAGCGTCTCCTCCTTTGCAGTGAGAGGAACTACCTTGCGCCCCTGTGCCAATGCCATCCTCAGCCGGCTCCTCCCTTGCTTCCTCCAAGGTGACAGAACACTATCTCCACCCTCACTGTGCCCGTGGAGACATAAGCAAGGAGTGGGGAGCTCAGAAACTGGGCTCCAGAGACTTGGATTCTCTCTGATGGTAACATTACCCCCCTCCCCGCCATTTTCCCACAGTGCAAATCACCCAGTCTCACACAGAGGACCTTGCTTGATGCCAGTGTGTGTGTCTAGGTTTTTGATTCCTTCCTTCCTGACCCCTCCAGCCAACCCTCAGTGCATGGTCCCTTGTGTTTACTGCAGGAGGGGAAGCAAGTTGCCTCAGAACTGGGGCTGATAAGAACCAATGACAAAAAGAATTGTCTACACCACTGGGTGCAAGGGACTTCTCTTTGTGCACAGAGAGGGATGTCTATTGAAGCAGAAAGGCTCTGGGAATGCAGTGGCTGAATAATGGGGAGAGATTCTAGGTGTCAGCAACAAAAGAGAAATGGAGGTTAGGTTGGGATGCATTAGCTAACCTGACCCTAAATGTGACCTCTTTACTAATGTACGTGCAGGGTACCAGTTTCTCAGTTAACTTTTCAGGGGGTTCCCCAAGCTCTCCACAGGCTCCACCTTGGCTAGCTAAACCAAGACTGAGCACTTATACTGCATTGCCACTAGGGAAATGGTCACTGTGAAGGTTAGTTATCACACCCCAGCCTGATCTCCAGCAATTTTCTTGTGTAGACAAGGCCTGAAAGAGCTACATCTGTCTGGCTCTGGTAAGCAGTGACCAAGTGGAGAGCACGTGAGCACTGTCTGTAAAGATCTGAAGGGGGTTAGGATCTGGGGGTTGAGGGGAGAAGTTTAGGGGTAAAACTAGGAGGAAGGGAATGAAATGAAGGAAGGACATTACGCTTGAAGCTCAGTCTTTTTATAAGGGATCTCTTAGCCTGTGGAGTCTCTCCCTAAGGGAAAACCTGGGAGCCCCTTCCCCCAGGACATTTAAATCTGGCTTAGAAATCTCCCCTATCTGGTTCTAGCTGTTGCTTCCCCCACTGGAAATCCAGTGAGGGGGCAGGTGTGGAGGGGAGCGCGGCAGCCTCTTCTTTTAACAACTGGGATCCAGAGTCCAGTCTGTAAGGCCAAGACAGCAGTAGGGTGGGAAACATCAGGCTGCTATTTGGGCTAGATGATTAGCCATCTCCCAGTTTGCCTGGGCAGTGGCATGCTACATGTGGAAGGAGCCTCCTTTAGAGCAATTTCCTTCTTTTTTAAAAACATTCAGTTAATTTTGATTTAATAAAGGGAAGTGTGGAAAAGTGTCATTTCCCCTCCCCCAAGTCCAGAATATGGATTATTGAGCTAGAGAGGTTTTCCCAGCCCCCTTCCTCTTCCAATCCCTCCCTGGGCTCACTGTCTCTTTGATGCCCCTCTCCCAGGTGGAGCCCTTCCAAGGCAGTCAGGTAGAGCACAACTACACAGCTCTGAACGGCATTTGCCTGCACTGTGCTGACAACACCATTGTTGAGTTCTTTGTGGGGCTTTGAATAGCTCTTTGGTTCCTCTCCCTTTGCAACATCCCTTGTTTTTCTTCTCTGGTTGTTGCCATATCCCAGCACCAGCCAAATGTCTCTCACGGTCTCCTCCCCTTAGCTCCATGAGGCTGATCTGGAGTTTCTTCTGCTGCTGTCAGATGTGGGTGGTCATGCTTAGTGGTTGGAGCAGGTAGCCAGGAACAGGCTCTGACCCCGAGCTCCTGAGTCCAAGGCCAGCTGGCAGAGTCAGAAGTCAGGACTTGGATCCAAGGGTCAGGCTGGGCTCCCTAGGGTGAGGCAAGACAGGATGTAGAGCAGGAGCAGGGCTGAATTCTTGGAAACAGCTGAACATTTTGGCTGAACATTTTCTAGAAAAATGCAGCCTGAGGCAGTCACCCAGCATGGAAAATTTCAGGGCAAACAGTTGCAGTTTGACAAGTTAAGCAACTTAGAAGAACTGTTGGGCAATTTTAATTATAGGCGGTGCCAGCAGCCCAGTCTATATTAATAAATGGGCTCCTTCTTCCAGGGGTTGTCAGCAGCAACAAAGTTTGGGTTCAGCTATCTTAAGAGGTTTCTCTTTAAATTAACAAACAACAGCAGCTTGAGCCGCCACCCAGAAACCAGGGAAAAATGAACAGAAGAATGGCCATACTGGGTTCCCTTAGCAGGCAATACTTCCCCTCTCGTAAGCACTGAATCTGAATATAAAACAAGGAAGACTTTATTTGGGTGCAAGGGGACACAGAATCAACTTGGGGAAACACACTAACTATACACATAAATGAATAAACTAGCCAACCTATGATATCTTTGGCAGAAGTCTGTTAACTCAGTTCCCCACCCTCCAAGTGAATGTCCAATAAGCAACTGCCTTTTTCACACATCACTTCCCTCTCCCCACTAAGGTCCACTTATGGTTGGTGTCAACGAGGAGCATAGTCCCAGAGTCCAGGACAGCACTTAGCCAGCCTGCATCCCACCCCCAGGGGAAGTGCTGCCTGGTCTGGTCCTGAGGCTCCACCACAAAACCCATCTATGGTGATTTCAATTTTATTGGTGCTGGGTAGGGGCCTCCTTACCAGTGTTCACTCAACGCTGCTCCTGTCCGCTGCTGCCTCTCACCACAAATTTGCTTCTGCATTATCTCTTGTTGCAGAGTAGCCTCTGACGTCTCTTGGCAACAGCTTCCACGAAGGGGGATCAGTGATCTGTAGAACCCTCCAGCACACTCCTTGCCACAAGCAAAGTGCACCTCTCCTCCTTCCTACACCTCAGTCCCACTCCCACACCAATTTGGAGTTCGTGTATTGTTCTGGTGACTCCCCAAAGTGTCACTTGGAGGATTTATGGGAAGAAAACTTATGCAAATTAAGTCTTGGTAGCTGTACTTTCCCTGTTCACCAACCAATGGTGGCAGAGAGCTCCTTATCCTGTAAAGCAGGAGTGGTCAATAGGTGGCCCAAGGGCCAAATCCAGACTGCCAGATGCATTTGAACAGACCACAAAATTTTTTTTTACTTATTCTTATAATTATTTTTACTATTTTTGTATTTTCTCTAGAATCTGGACCTTGACTATACCTTGATGAAGAAATCTGGTGGAACTTGATAAAAAATAATTGATTACCCCTGCTGTAGAGCTTCTGTCTCTCTGGAGGTCTGGGTAAACAGCTTTGAAGCAGTTCTTGGCCACTCTTTCTCCTGTTCACCAACAGATGGTAGCGGTAAGCTCACTGCCTTTTGGGAACTTCAACCTCAGGACTGACACATACAACTGTTAACAATGACCCCAGCTCTTGCAGCCTTTCTGTGTTGGCCCTTCTCTCCCCAGAAGCTGATTTGTTTATTCTTTAAGAAACTTTTCTGTAGAAACTGGATTTTACCTAACCAGGTGGGCTAGTCGCACAGATTTAAATGGAAAGGGCTAAGAATTGAATAGGCACCTCAGAAGAAACTGGCCTTGTTTTCTCCCAGGAGACAGAGACTGCAAATGGCCTCTGCTTCCTCATAAAGGTAAGTAGCCAAGGGTAAGTGTCTTAACTTTATCCTATGGGCGTGCCACATCCTGATTGAATGGGGACCACCTCCCTCACCAATCCCTGCGGCAGAGTCCGGGGTAGGCAAGATAACAACCGGTAGGTGAAGAGCATGGAACAATGGGTTGTAAAACAGATATGTTTGCTCATCCAGGACCACATGGTTCCAGCTTGGAATGGGTAAAATTACCATTTGGCTGGTGCCCAGATTTATGGACAGGGAGATGGGGTAGGGAGGGTGGAGAAAAATCTCACCACTCAGTGTGAGGGAACTTCAGGGAGCAGAAATGAGACCCTGAGATAAAGCTATGAAAGAAAAAAAATCTCTCTCTCTGCCCCTGCCAATCCCAGGACCCTCTTCCAATACAGCTGCAAGGTCCTCTCCCCTGCTTCTCTTTACCTCTGAACCTTCAGCAGCTGCCCTAAAATCTGCCGCCTGCCCTCAGGACACACAGTCCCTCTTTTGCCCACTTTGCCCTGGCCCTGGGCAGCAGTTTCCTTCAGCCGCTGACAGTCTCACTGGGAAATAATGAGCCCTTTGTGTGCGAGGGCTGGTTGGGTCAGTGCCTAGGCGCAGGGATGTGGCAATAAGTGATTACTCCCAGTTGGATTTGGCACCAGGCCAGCAAGGAAACCCAGCCTAGCTTTCCTGGCTATAAATCTCCCTGGTGCCTAGGGGTGTTAGTCACTCACAAGCTTCTCCGTGGATAGCTTCAGAGCTGATGCTGCACAATGCAGCCCCTTATCCATGCAGGGCTCTGCCTGTTCCTCTCCTGCTACTTCCAAGATGCAGGGGCACACAGGTACATCTACACCCTCACTGTACCCAATGGAGGCCCATGGGGTGAATGGGGGAGAAAGGAGTTTTGCACCCATGGCTACGCTAATGGATTTGCATTGAAGGTAAAATTCTTCCCATCTTACTGCCACTTCCTCACCCCCACCCAGTCTCTCAACAAGAACTTCTCTTGACTCTAGGCTGTTACCTGGGTTTTTAAAAATCCTCTTTTCCTCACACTCTGGTCAGCCATTGGCATACAGGGTCACTGATTTTATTAAAGGGTGTGGGGCAGGGAATGTCTGTGATCCCAGAGCTGGGGCTGAAATGAGATGAAAACACAATTGTTTGCACAGCTGGGTTAATGGGGCTTTGCTTTGGGCTCAACCAGAAACATCTGTCAAAGCAGAAAGGGCCAGGGAGTATAAGGGCAGAGTTAGGAGGCAATATTAAAAGAGCTAAATCTGTCTGGCTCGGGTGAGCTGCGAGTGAGAGGCGGGGATGTGACCACTGTCTGTAAGCATCTGAAAGGTGTTAACATGAAAGGGCGTGGGGGGGGGCATATTTGAGGGGGAAAGTAGGAGGAAGGGAATAAAACGAGTGAAGGAAGTTTTGCTTGAAACTCATTCTGAGGGCAGGCCTCCACTGGAAAGTTTTGCCAGCATAGCTATGCCTGTTAAGGGTGTGATTTATTTTCATTTTTAAAAAATATTTCTATGCTGTCAAAAGTCCTAGTAGATGTGCCAAAAGTGCTGTTGCCAGGACAGTATATTTTGCTCACCAAACTGGAATAAGCTATACCAGCAAAAGTATTTTTCCTGCATCCGATGAAGTGAGCTGTAGCTCACGAAAGCTCATGCTCAAATAAATTGGTTAGTCTCTAAGGTGCCACTAGTACTCCTTTTCTTTTTGCTACTGCAGTTATGGCTACACAAGGAGGACGTTGCGAGTAAGGCTAGAACAGCAAAACTATTCTAGTGTAGACTCGGCCTCACGTTTCCCTGCCAGAGAAGGAACTGTTAGTCTGTGGAGTAAGGGAATGAGTGGGAGCACCATCACCACTGCATTAAATCCAGCCTGGATATCTCCCCTCTCTAACTGCTGTGAATCTGTGTGTTGCTGCAAGAGTGAAAATCCAGTGTGGGGGTTGTGGGTAGGGGCAGCCTGCTCACTCTTCCCAGCTGGCATCCAGGGTCTCTGCCTGACAGAGTGGATGTCAAAGAGGTGGAAAACATAAAGGGGAGTACAGGAACTCCTCACTTAACGTTGTACTTATGTTCCTGAAAAATGCTACTTTAAGCAAAATTTTCCCATAAGAATTAATCTAAATGGGGGAGGAAGGAGAGGGTTAGTTAGACACACACACACACTATAAGTTTTAAACAAACAAGCTCAAGGCTAATTAAGGTGTGGTTCCCTGTAGACTAGGGAAGGTGGCTGCAGGTTAATTGGAGCACCTGCAGTCAATTAAGGCCCTTTTAGAAACCTAATAAACCCCCCTGCTTTAGGCAGAGAGAAGAGGAGGAGAAAAGAGAGGACTGGAGCTTGGAGGTGTGCTGTGAGACTTGGAAAATCAGAGAACTGAAGTAAGGGGGAGAGAACTCCCTTCCCTAGCATCTAAGGACTGCAGGTATCCCACCCAAGGGGAAGAGGGTAAGAACCCACAGGGGTTGAGAGGGGCTGGGGCTCAGAGTAAGGAGCAGACCCAGACCCCTTGTCCATTTCCCTCCTTTACCACTGTCCTGGGCCACTAGCATGGCCAATGACACCCAAGAACAGGGGCAAGGGGTGGCATCTTAGCTCCCTGCCAAGAAAAGCGCAGGACCCACCAGACTAACATCGGCCATCTTGTCACACTGTATACAGCAATTATGACTGTGAAACTTGGTTGAGGTGGTGGAGTCAGAGGGTGGGATATTTCCCAGGGAATGCCTTGCTGCTAAATTGTGAACTACCGCTCGGCTGAGCCCTCAAGGGTTAACACATTGTCGTTAATGTAGCCTCACACTCTACAAGGCAGCACGAATGGAGGGAGGAGACACAGCATGGCAGAGAGAGACAGATGCAAACACTGTGTGTGTGTGTGTGTGTGTGAGAGATGAGCACTGCCCCTTTAAGTACGCTGACCACACTCTAAGTACATTGCCTTTTTAAGTAGATCAAGTTTTAAGTTGAGACAGCAGCTGCTGCCAGCAAGCTCCCTCTGTCCTGAGCCCTGTCGTGTCCCCCCTGGCTCTCTGGAGATAGGGGGCAGAAGTAGGGGGAGGGGGACACCCTGGCATTAGCACACCTCTTCCTCCACCCCTTTGCACAGCAAGCAGGAAGCTCCTGGGAGCAGCTCCAAGGCAGAGGGCAGGAACAGCACACAGCAGTGGGGGGAGGGACAGCTGAACTGCCTGGCAGTTGATAGCTTGCTGGGCGGCTGCCGCACAGGGAACTTAGGGGGGCTGCCGGTTCACCCTGGTTCCAAGCCCCCACCAGCTAGCTGCAACGGGCTGCTCTTCCTGCAAGCAGTGGACAAAGCAGGCGGCTGCCAAACAACGTTCTAAGGGAGCATTGCGGAACTTTAAACGAGCATGTTCTCTAATTGATCAGCAACATAACAACGTTAACCGGGACGACATTAAGTGAGGAGTTATTGTATATGGGAAAGGTTATTTAGTTGCCTCCCAGCTTCCCAGGGCAGTGGCTGTAACGTGTGTCAGGAGCCTTCTGGGACTGATTATTGCTGGACATTTCCCTTTTTTTTTTTTTTTTTTTTTAAAGAAATGTAGTTAATTTAATAACAGGAAGTTGGGAGCTTTATTGGCTTGAGGGATGGGATTCCCAACCCGTCTCCTCCCAATCTGTACCTGTGCCACCATCTTCTGTACCCCTCTCCTAGGTGGAGCCTTTCCAAGGCGGCGGGGTAAAACATGATGACACGGCTTTGAATGGCATTCGCTTGTACTGCACTGACGGCTCCAGCATCGAGTCCACGGTGGGGCCGTGAGTAGCCCTTTGGTTTCTCTCCCATCCCTCCTGCTCTGGAAGTGCAGAGAGAATAACCATGAACGATGCCATTTGCCATCTGACTATTCTCTCTGTTTGGAATCTGTAAAGGAAAATTAAAATAGGGCATTGGCTGTTCTGTTTCTGCTTCTTTATGATGGACACAGCTGGCCATTTCATGTTAAAATTCAGATCTTGTGTGTCCTGGAAGTTGCTGTGAAGGACTGAAGAGAACCAGTGAAATGAGCCCCAGAGTCCAGTATGAAAGCTGCAGCAATTGGGGGCTGGGGAAAGGAATTTTTAGCTACATCCTTTCATATTCTTTGGGTGAAATCCTGGCCCTACTGGAATGAGTGGGATTTTGCCATTGACATTGTCGGTTGTTGGCTCCGTGAGCTGCACCAGCTCTGGCTAGGTAGCTGGTACAGCAGACCTCGATCGAACTGCCCAAGAAGACCAAAGACTTGGTTCAGTGGTAAAGGGACTCAGCCAGGTTTATTGACAACAAAGCACTGTACTAGTACCCCATAGACTCTATAGGAACACTAATACATGTATGCCCATGACCAGCTCAGTAAGTGGTGTGACTTTCTGCTTCCCCCTAGGCCAGACAGACACCTCCTCTGTGACCCCTCTTTCATACACTGATGCAAACAAGTTACATATTACCCTTCTGATGTGGTTAGTTACCAACCCTACCCCTCGTACTTCCAGGTTCGAACAAAACATTTTCATTCATCATCCCATCCTGTCCTCCCATCCTGGTTTTGCTTGGGGTCGGCATGTTCCCATTCCATCTCCCAGTATTGTGTTTGTGCCACACCTTTATGTCGGGGAGGGGGGATGGTACCTGCGTCTTCTGGAATGTGCACACATGAATACCTTGAGCCTAGTACTTCTTGGAAGTACCTGTGTTTTTTTGCCAAGTGCATGTATCACACAGCAAGTGTCTACTTTATAACAGGGCCTGACTTTAGCTCAGAACCTGACTCTTGCTAACTTGGCTTTGTCTAATGTTTGGGTATAAGATTCAGCGCAAAGTATCACAGATCCAGTCAGGTGCCCCCTTCCAGCCACCCTCTGGGCTGTTGTGAGGGGAAGCCAAGCCTCTCTGTGCCTGGATCCCCATGTGCTTGGGGCTCAGCAGGCTGCAGCACTGGTTCCTCCTGGGGCCTCTCTGGCACATTTCCTGGTCGTTGACTGTCTGCTACTCCTTCACGGAAGTGGGGCTGCTCCACCAGGAGCGCTGGAAGCTCCCTAGAAGTGGGGGAAACACCGGTGCCCAAACCGTGGTCCCGTCCCCTTGCTCTGCCTCTTCCGCCCAGAGGCCTCGCCACCCACTCGCTCCTCTCTGTCCCCTCCTCCTGTCGCTCACCCTTAAGGCAGGAAAAGTGATGGGGTCTTAGCCCCCTACACCTCCCTGTTCTGGCTCCCTTGTGCTCTGCCCACCCTCCCTAGGCCCTCAGGACCAGCATTGACCCCCCCCAAGATACCCCAGTTGCTTAAATATACCCTCTCCCAGATCTCCACCCCTGTTTAATTCCCTTTAGAGGCACACAGTAGTTGTGACGCTCACAACGCACACTCAGCCACTTTGCCCAGAGTCTAACACAACTGTTCTTTTACTTTAGCCTATTAAGTCCAAGAGCGTACAGATCATACAAAGCAATAAACATCCTAACTGCAATAACCCCCGCCCTTTGGGATGCTGGGGGGCTATCTGTGTCCAGGACGGCTGGCAGGTCATCTTACATGCCGGATGACTTCTCCCTCATGAAGTTCCCTTCCCCATCTTCTCTGATCTTGCTCTCTCCTGCCCATTGCTTCCTCTTCCTGTCTGACTCTTTCCCCATCTTTAAATCCCTCCTGAGTCCTGGTCAGCTGCTTTTTTTCTGTTCTGTGTTTGGTAACTTTCCACTGCGCAAAAAAAACCCCTCCCCTCAGACAGAGGAGCAAGTATTTTTTTTTTTGTATTGGAATGCAGTTACTCTTTTGCATGGTCAAAGCATCGTCATTAACATTAAGTACCTCCCTGTTGTCTTCAGTCTAGAATATTTGGTACGTGTCCTGTCAGCAATGGTGGCTCCACATACAGGGAGGCATTTATGATACAGCAGGTTTTCATAGTAACATTTCATAATAACTTAATATCAACCAGAACGGATAAGTTCTACACACATTTTCCCAAATTTGTCACTCAAAGCTCATCTCCGGAGTCCTCCAGCAAAACCAGGGAAAACCAGGCTTGACACTTCTGATATTTCTAAGGTTAAATACAAGCAAGAAAAAACACTACTCAAGAAAAAGAAAACAAAATACCCCAGGTCCTTCCAGGCCTGATTTCAAGTCACTGCTGTGTGGCCTATGAACACTGGGCTTGGTGCACAGTAACTAGGATGACTGGTGCCCTGTGGTGGGTAGCGAACCCTGAATAAGCCTCAGGTAATTTATTTTCTTCTTTGGCAGGTGGGGCCGTTGGACTGGGGTCCACTGGTGCCCCAAGAGCAACCTGATCTCCTTCTCGCTGAGAGTGGAACCATCCCAGGGAAAGGGCGATGACACGGCGGCCAACAACATCCAGTTCACATGCTCAGATGGGACTGGGCTGATGGGCACCTCGCAGTCCTGGGGTGATTTTGGCCCATGGAGCAATCGCTGCAGCTCTGGGGCCATTTGTGGGATCCAGACGAAGGTGGAGGCATCCCAGGGCCGTGGGGATGACACTGCGCTCAATGATGTGAAGTTCTTCTGCTGCAACTAAATGAGCACCTGTCCCTGCCCATCCCCCAACACCAGCACCTGCCCGTTAAACACCATTAAAGTTTAGCTCTGCTTTTGAAGAGGACGGTGTCTGTCTTATTGACCCAAATCAGACATGTGATCATGTACCATCTCCACATCTACAAGGGAATGCTGGATTGTGAGGAGGGCCAGGGGAAGAGGAGACAGGGAGGAGCGTGGAAGGGGGGAGAGATAATGCCTATGATAAGGAGAGAGAGGGGATGCATGGCCATATTGGGTAGAAAGGTGTTGGGAATCAAGTAATTTTATTCTAAAAATGGTTAAAATTTCTTGTCCAGAGAACCAAGGAATGACTGGGGCCAAATCTTGTGTGTGTGACTGATTTTTGTAAAGAAGTAGACAATGAAAGATACACAGCTGTAAATCATTTACCTTTTTGTATGTTTCCAAATATGGCATGCTTTGGATTGCCAATAAAATTACGCAATTACACAATTTTACAACTTGTCAAAGTTGCAAGACCGGACAATCCAGGCAATGCTACAGAGACATAATATGTTAGGATGCTAGTAACAGTAATACAATAAGAGAAGGCATACATGAATAGAGGAAGGGGGCTGGGGTGAGTGAAAAAGAAAAGGGGTAAGGTTGAATGGAAGTGGGGCATTATTTGAGTTATCTCAACATTTTTATCCAAATGTATCCAGAAACAGGGTCCAAATTTCTTCAAATTTATATAATTGATCTCTGTGGTTGTTAGAGGGCTTTCCCTTCACCCCTCCCCTGGTTCTTGTCATGCAGACAGAAAGCAGAAGACTAGAAGTCTGAAGTGCAGGCAATGCAATGCTTATTGGAGTTAGTTCCAAGCAAAGATATCCATAGCTCTCCACGCCAGCAGAGTCTGTTTCCCAGTGTCCCCCATCCCAGCTCTGATGCTGCAGAGCGTTTACCCCATGTCCCCCTTCCCAGCTCTGACTCCTCAGAGCCTTGCCTGTGTCCCTGTTCCCCCTTCCTCCTTAGCAGGACCAAATATACCTGCAGTGCATGCCCCTAGTCACACCCCTTACAACTTATGGTCATGTTCCATTTTGGGGGGTCGTGAGTCTGGGGTCTTCATCCCACCTCTTTTGTATCCCAGGGGAGGGGTAAGGAGTGGGGTTGTGTTCTGGCCAAGGCCAGGCTTTTCTGTGGCTTTTAGTGTTTCTTATGCCTCTCCCCTCCCTATTCCCTCATGCCCCTCCTAAGTGGTTGCTTGACCTTGGCTTGAGAAAGAAGCCAGGCAGCCTTTCAGTGTATGCTCATATATTACACTCCCACCATACCCTTAATTCTATCCCTTATGTCTTCCCTTTATACTAACAAACACATCTGGCCAGGTAGAAACAACACACACTGTGTCTTTGTCCTTTGTTCACATGGCAGTATAAGATACAAGAGTATCAAAAAGTCAAACCCAAAATTCTCTCTCAGGTTGGCAAACAAGCCTCTATATTGACAGTGGCGATAAGCTATTCTTTCTTTGGCTGCTACTCAGCCATGGCCAAATGCCACTGCTCTGTTCTGGGCATAAGCCTACCCAACCATTTTTGTAAAACATATGCACTTGCTAATCATTGCAGCCTTTAAGGACGAAAGCTTTTGTAGTTAAACCAGCTTAGCAGGTACATATCTTTGGATGTCATTTTCCGCTGAGGTTTGGCTGCTGAGGCCAAGCATTATTTTCAATCCACTTCTTTCCACAGCTACCTGATACTGGCAAGTCCCACAGCGTATGCATCAGGGTTCCTTTTACTTTGTTACAGTGCCAACCAGCACCAGAGGATAATGCCTTTATCTTGGGCAATCTCTGTGGTGCATTTTGGATAAAATCTTTTGTTGCATTAAATGGAGCCTGAGATTCAGAGAAGCATTTTTAACATTACATAATATGCTTTGGCACAGAGTTTCTTTTTAAGGGCTGTGATCAATCCCCTTGAGCACTTTCACTTTCCAGACTAATGGAGTTCCTCTTCATTAAGGGCCCAATCTCAATAATGGTCTTTCTCTTAATACCCATTCAGGAAAGTGACTCCCACTATTTTAGTCACATAGTGTTCTTTGTTGTGCTTTAGGGAACACCATGATTTGAAACAAGCCAACTAATCACTGTTGTGAACGATGGCTGTTTCATCATGAAAGAAAAACACAATCAATGAAAACAAAAGAGAGAGAATAAACAAGGGTTATTTCCATTACAATCTCTTTGGTCTTGTTGGGGTACAGCTGGCTCTCAGCCAGATCCCTAGGCAACCCAGCAAGCTCAGCTGGACCCAATAAGCCCCCTCCAAATGTTTGTACTGCCTGATTGGGCAGGGGAACCAACCCGCTGCTACTTGAGCCTTGCAGCAGCAGTCACTCCTGGTGTACTATACCTGTTCTTACAGCTGCTTTCTACTTCAGCCATTGTGCCAAGCCCTGCTCCTAACCCTGTTCCTGCTCCAGTTCCAACCTACCTGCTCTATTCTGGTTCTTAACTCCTGGCTCTGATAGACTCTTGGTTACATCTCTGACTCCAACTTACCCTTTGAATTCTGACCTTCGGCATGGTCCCTTGACTTTGACTCCAGCTTCACCTTTAGACTGGTGCCTGATTCCATGTTTGTCATTACCTGAATTGCTACCACAACCACAAGGTGATGTCTGCTCCCCCCACTAGGTAGGCCACCCATGACCCAGCAGTTCAGAAGCATGCCTCTCCATGAACAGCTTTTAAGAGAGATTATATCTTTGTAGGCCTGCTTCTGGTGGTGGTGCTCTTCTCTAGGAAAGTCAAGATCAAACATATCAGTTTAAAATTAACAGCTAGTTCTGTTCTAATGAATCCTAGATGACTAAGCCAATTCATAGATGGGCAAAGACCTTTTTGTTTAAGGGGTTGCTGTTGTCTGCTTAGCTCATAATGGATAACAAACAATTTATAAATAGGTAACAGTGTGGTCTTAACTAAGCCTTATGAAACTGATGAAAGTATTTAAATAATTTATTCAAAAGAGGCCATTCAAGGAGCTGTCTTGAGATAAGATTCATTAATTTGCCTAAGAATATTAAATTCAAGTGTCATTTGCTATTTTTCTCTGTTTAACTTTGGCTCCTTTATATGTATACATAGTTTAAACCATTTCTATATCCTGTTAAAATCATCAACAGGGTAAGTCTAATTCCGTGGAAGTGCTTTGATGTTGAAGTGTTGGTGATATTATTATGTGGCAGAATCGGTGATTGTTCCTTCTTGATGCTGTATTGTTCTTTGTCTTGCTGCTGTTTGCTTGCTTGAAAGAAATGATACTGTTGAGACAGAAGTTTTTAAAGTCAGGCTTGACAAAGCCCTGGCTGGGTTGATTTAATTGGGGATCGGTCCTGCTTTGAGCAGGGGGTTGGACTAGATGACCTCCTGAGGTCCCTTCCAACCCTGATATTCTAGGATTCTAAGTGCTGTCAAAGTTGAGAGATGGAAGCCTAGAGTGTTGCCTGCCTGAAAGAGAGACTTACACTTGTCTCTTTTTATCGTTTGTCTGAAGGTAAAAGACATACCCCTTTATAACTAAAGGAAAAAAATCTCCAGTCTCTACTCTGTATTTCTGATCTCCATTCTGAATAAGCAAAAGTCACTCCACCCTGAGATAGATGCTGTGGACCTTGAGCGTGCTCCATAAGAATTTAGGATTTTTTTATATATATATCCTGCCAAAGAGCTGTGTGGATGCAAGATTGGCAACTATTGAGCACGTGCAGTAAGGGCTGACAGAGAGGTCAGTTAGATGGTCAGAACCCACTCACAGCGATCACAAATTGTTTTAAAGGTCAGATGTCAATCAGAATTCTGAGATAGTGGTCAAGACTGAGCATGTGTGAGTGAAGTAACTCTAAGAATAGGAAGGTATATAGAGAAAGAGCTACAATATAGCATAAAAGACCAGCTGCCAGCAACAGTTTCTGAGTCCAGAAGCCGCATCTGAGAAGGAGAGAGGTGTGCAAGAAGAGCCGGGGAAGCCAGCAAGAAAAGTCCAAGAGAAACTGCTGCAGAGATTAAAAAGAAAGCTGGAGTGGAGCAGAGCTGACTGACCAGGAACTAAAAAGCAGCAGCGGATTTATAGAGTAAGCTTAATAGTCTTTTAATTATAGTTCAGCATAAATATAGCATAAGTGTTTAATATGTGAATGCTTGGTGTTTGTAATGGTTTAAAACAAATTAAGAACAGCTGTCAGCACTTTGTTGCAAACTGTCTACTTGGAAAACATTGCTTCTCTTAAACTACAATAGCATATAGTTCAAATGATTTCTAAGTGCTCTTTAACTTGCAATAAGGGATTTGTTTTTCAGGGTGTTTGTGCCTTGTTTAGAATAACTAATCCCTAATACAGAGTATATCAGTGAAAAGATACAGGCAGTATTCTTTCAAAAACAAAGTGTCAATTACTTTATTGGAAGGTTATATCCATGTCCTATAGTGTTTCCTTAGCAACCCTGAGAACTTTTACCTCTAGAAGAACAGATTGAGGGGACAATAGGCAAATTATTGTAGCAGCACCTCAAAAATGGATTTTGGAGCAACACCTTATAGGGTGTAGGTAGATTTTAATATTAGCTGCTTTCCCTCCCTTCCTTGGCGTAACACCTTCATGCATGGATCTCGCAGTATTTTCAGCCATGAATAGGCAATTTGTTGCTTTGTTCTTGTGGAGGCAACTCTCAGAATATCTTTAAAGTTTAGTTTTAACTCTTGTACTCAGTCCATTTTCTGAAATATTATTTTAGTTTTCATAAGAATTTAATCAGAGTTGAAATTGTTTCAAACCACCCTTACATCCTACATAAGTCTTGCAGCTCTCAGAATAGTTTGTCTAACCTTGAATAATTCTTAAAGACAGTCTTTCAAACCTAAATAATTTATTCTTAACCACCTTTGGAGAGCTGACTCTTGATTTTCTGTGCTGGTCAGGAGTTGTGTAAGTCTTGCCAGATAACTAATTCCCCAGTTAATAATAATGCACTCATGGCTTCTGTCAATAGCTAGCGATAGTGATATCAGGCTTTATTTGCAGCTTGTATTTAAATGCCAAATA